AACTGTGCAAGCTTACCTGGTTCATGTCATTGGCCACATTGGTATCACTACCTTCAGCCTGAGTTTCCATTGCTGCACTGGTATTTTGAGTATTTCATTGTCAGCTTGCACAGCTTATTGATGAGACTGTACCAATGAAACTTACATTGTTATTGTTTAGATTGGAGGTATTGGGTAACACTGAGTTTCCCATGGTATTGTTTACCTCCATGGGATTCTTGATTGATTGATTATCAATCTGCACAACTCATCCATGAGTTATGCAGTACTCACCTGAACCAGGCTGACATTCAGGGCACTGGTAATGGCAGGAGCTATGTCAAAGCCTATGGTAGTCTTATTACTCAGTATTCACCTTGCAATCAACATTATGTGACTTACCTGGTTGGTGGTGATGTTGCCAGTGACCTGAGCCAGCACAGTTCATCAATGAATTGTGCAGCAACACATAATTTTTTTTACCTACTGTGTTGTTGGTATGTCAGTCTAATGCAGGTACATCAGCATTGTCTAGTTTCTCAGATTAATTACACCACTTACAGCCATTGATTTGTAATGTGTTTGTTGTTGTTTGGTGCATCTGAAAGTAGATGGTGGTGGTTCAAGTTCAAGAAGTGATTTTGCATAGCCACCACCAACTAATGGCTTATATAGTGCCATGCTTACATAATCCACCCAAATTGGTCACAGATAATTTGCAACTCTCTCTTGCTCCTTGCTGCCTGAATGGCCACTGTAGCAACCTTGTGGAAGATGATGCAATGGACCATTTGGTTCTCCAATTTCTCACATATACATACATATGTCACACAAACTTTGGCTATACCTGCATAACTCATTGATGAGTTATGCTACATGTTCAGTGTACCACATGAAGAGATCCATCAGGTTGCTCTGACTACCCTCTACTGGTTTGCCCATTAACCAAGCTGAAAATGATTCAAGGTCATTCTGTTGGCAACCAAAGTGTGCACTTGCTTCATCTTTCACTTGGCTGCTGTGAAGATGGAAAGTGCCACTGGTCCAACAATGTCTTTGAAGCTGCACAACACTTTCCCATCTATTGCCTTGGAAAATTGTGGCTGCAGCCAGTCATTGAGTTGGGGGACATGGCATGTCCAGCATACCTTGACATGCTAGACCTGGTACTGCAGTTGTTTCCTCCATGCCACATAGTCACCCCAATTGTCCAATTGGCAGCCAATCAACTGGTGGGTGGATGACCCATCTGACTCCCCTTCCATGATTTTGCACATCAGGCAGATGCCTGCATATGACTGCAGGGCTCAGAGTATCCTATCTGCCATTTCATTGGTCTTCTGTTGATGTGTGGACATCATGCCTTTGACCTGCATGGCTGCTTATTGGAATGATGCTTGTTGCTGTGATGTCAAGGGTATTAGTGTTTTTGTTGCCTGCATGAACCTTGCCTTGGGCAACTTTGCAATGGGTAGTATGCCAGTTGGATTGTGATTTGGATTTTGTTTGCAGACACAACATGGTTGGTTTTCTGCTAGTTGTTGACAACTTGTGCCCAAACCATCCATGAACTGGGTGATCCCAAATTGAAGATACCACTTGAGACCAATGAAGGAGTGTTCATACATGATCACTGTCTCCTGCATGCTGGGCTGTGTAGTGTGTGGGGGGATCAGTGCAAAGTACTTGGTTGGGTTGAAGGGGCCATGGCATTGGAATGGCCAGAGGAAGTAGTATTATAAGATGGTGATGATGATGACATTTGACTCTGTTTGTACATGTTTGCTCAGTTGCATCTGAATGTTGAATGCTTGAATTTACTGTTCTATCTGGGCCTAACCAAGTGGACTTGGCCCTCTTCACGTGTGCTTTCAAGGGCATCTGTGGTTGAATACCCTGTAGGTTTAGGGCAGGATGGCTCAGAACAGTAGCATAAAAATAGACTGCCTGTCCAGTGCACTGTAACCTGCTGTCCATCAGGTACAGTAGAGGTTGATACTCTGACACATTTTTTGTTGTGAGTGTTGTGTAGATTTTTGTTGTCAAACAGTACTGCAGGTGCAAGACACACTACTGTGTGATGATGGTGATAGGAGAGATTAGAAGAAGAAAATGAAGGGAGGGAAAGAGGAAAGGAAAACCTTTCTCACAATGGATACTATATATACTAGGTATCCCTATCCAGCATCACCTGTAAATAGAAGGTGCTGTCTGTGGCTATGCAGAGCTGTTAACCATATATGGTAGGTGCTTTTCATGGCAGTGTGATTTTTTGTTTATCCTGCCCTGCACAACTCATCAATGAGTATGCAAGTTGCCTTGGGCTATACACAGCTTTCAGTGGCAGTGTGATTTTTTCATGTCAGGCCATTACAACTCATCAGTGAGTTGCATAGTTGCCTTGTGATATATAAAACCTGTTTCCATATATGGTAAACACTTATGTGGCTATACACAGTTTTCTGTGGCTGTGTGATTTTTTGCATTTTTTGGCCTGCACAGGTCATCAATGAGTTGTGCAATTCTTTCAAAAAAATATGAAACAAGAAGAAAAGTTTCATATATAGTAGGCACTTTCTCAAATTTCCTTTTATAACAAGCACTTTTGAGACTAGAACTGGATGGACAGTTTAGGTCATTAGGTTTCAAGCAGAGGTGAGAGTGGACTCTTGACAGCATATTATCACCAGGTAGTTATCTCATGGTTTCTTACTAGGCTTGACCTGGTGTTACTTTCCCTCCTTCTGGCTCCATCCATTACTGTCACCAAGTCACTAGTCTGTAGTCAGTACCCAGTAGTTGGTAGTCAGTACTCACTTTGCCCTTTGGTAGTCTTCCTTGTTGGTAGTTGCTAGTTGGTCTTTGCTAGTCAGTACACAGTAGTCCCCCATTGTTAGTTGGTAGTCACTAGTCACTTGGTAGCAGTGTCTGTCCTACCAGTCTAGATACGCAGCCAGTCACTTATTTTCTCTACTGACAGTGGCTGTGTGGCTGTATTGGTGGCATTCCTAGATGCATACATCCAATCCTACACTTTTTGGTAGATACATGCAGATCAGGTGCTGGCTCCCAAAAGCATGTTATTAAAAGGCACACCTGGCCATCCTGATGGCCAGTTGAGCATAGTGCTTGCACATGAATGTATTCCTTTCTGGGGTCACACACGCACCTGTGTGACCAGATGTCCTGGATTCCCCCAACTTTGGGCCACAATGCCCAGTGTATCTATGCTCAATCAAACAAAACTTGTATTATTAAGTTTTAATAGTTTGAATAGTTATTAGTTGTGTAGTTGTGGAATGTATGCCTTTTAGGTCATGTAACTTTACTATATTTTGGTAAATAATGGTCATGTGCATCATGTGTCATCCTGGTTGAAATGTTTTTAGGCCACTCTGCTAAGTCCATTTATGGTACTTGATGATACAATGGTATTGATAAAATGGTAGGATTCCTGCAGTATGCTGTGATGTAGGGTTGCATATCTGGTCATCCAAGGCAGCCACCCCACCTGTGGTATTTGGGTCATGTGATCCAATGGCTGCTGCCATGCCTGTGATGCCAGTGGCTGTCCAAGATGGCCAAACAGTGCATGGGTATTGGGTATGTGACCATCATGGCCACAGTGCCTCTTGCTGTCTTGGATGGCCACACTGTGCACAGGTCAGAGCACATGTGACTGGTATGCTCAAGTGGGCCATGTGAATATGGTCACATGACCATGAATCCCTCATCAACAATGGCTGTCCTGGGCAGCCACATCAATTTGGGCCACTCTGCCCAGTGCAACCATGCTACAATACATCACTGTTATTACTACCCTGTACTATGCTGTCACCTAGTAATCTATTTAGTTTTCCCTTGTGTACAGGTATGTCATTAACTATGTATAGCAGGCAGTAGTAGCACTATAGGTCAGTTGTCCAGAGTAGACATGTCATGTGCAGTTGGCATGGGCCATGGTACTTCTGGCTGTCCAAGATGGCCCTTGGTTTCATGACCAGGTGCATGGGAAAGAGGTCACATGACCACAAGGTCAGCAATACAGGTGGTTATCTTGGATGGCCATACACACTGCAAGGGGAGTTGTCACATGACCATCTTGGCCTGTGTCACAGGCAGCTGTCCAAGACAGTAATGCACATGCACAAGCAGTTGGTCACATGACCATCTTGGCTGGTGTCACAGGTGGCTATGCACATGCACAGGGACTTCAGTCACCTGACCCAAACACTTGTGGTGTGGGGTGGCCATACACACTGTGAGGGGAGTAGTTGTGTGAACATGACATCCATGCACTCAGACAAATGATGATTATGTACATTGCCATCTGGATGTCTGGGTGGCTAAAAGTGGGGAATGCATGCATGTGAAATGCCAACTTCACATGCCTAGTCACTAATTAGTGAGCTCACTGTTGTCATTCCAAGATTACTGGTGGAGAAGACATAAACCATATCAAATTGTCATAACATTTAGAGCTAACAAGAAATCTGTACACAATAATTTCACTCAGGGTTCAATTGAAATCTTCTTCCTCTTCCTCCTCCCTGAGTAGTTGGCTTATATACTGTGGGAATTCCATAGTGAATTTGTTGAATTCAGCATCCACCTGAATTCCTTGTGGAGGTTGTTGTGGAATGTCATCCAATGTGGGTATCTGTGGCATGTAGCCCATGCTATAGTGCTGGTCAAGTGAGCTGTATGATTGGGCCCTGTTGGTGACCACAGATGCAGTGGGCAAGGGAGAATGTGATGATGATGAGTGATGTTTCACCTGACTCAATGGTCCTGGACTAGGGGTGTGATTCCAGAACTGGCCTGTCTGTGTCTCAGTAAACCTCATGTCCTCCTCTTCCTCCTCCTCTTCTTCATCTCACTGAATCAGAGCACCAGGTCCAATGTGGCATGCAGTGGATGCTGTTTGCTAGCCAGGTTTGTCATCTTCATCTTCATCTTCATCTTTATCTTCATCTTCCTCTTCTTGCTGAATGGGAGACCAGGGTCAGCATGGCTTGCAGTCAATGCTCCTCACAATAAAGATATCCTATCATCTCCCTCATCCTCATGCTGTATGGCAGCCCTGGGTGCAGCTGGCAGCACATTACCATCCTCATCCTCACCATCCATGATATCATCTGCATGGTTTGAAGTGGACATGACCCACAAGAAAGGTTTCCCAATCCCAGATGCCTGACATTCAGATGCAGATTCAAGGCAATCTGGGGTCCTGCTGGAGGGTGTCCCTCAGGCAATGTAAACCACCCCCTCCCTGTCATAGGCCCAGTGCACCATATCCTATCTGATCCAGTGAATGGGATCCACACCAGAGTACTGAACTTCTGTCTGATGGCTGCTTGCACTCTGTTGCATGATTGGACTCCAAGCAATGCAATAAGGTCAAGCCATTTGTGATAATACATGCACTTGTGGAAGTTTTGTCTTATGGTGGTGGGCAATTGAGTCAGAAAAAGGCAATGGGAATGGTCCCATTGCTGCCCTGTGCAGAATGTGTACTGTGCTGCAAAGAATGGAAGGGCAAATGATTGATATATGGTCTCAGTGGCTTCTTGAGTTTGCTGCTGTGGGGGAATGTTGGTCCAACTACCTTCTGAGGTTGCTTTCTTGTCATTAAAAAATTGTTCCAAAAGAAGTTGGACCTGAGTTTCTCTATCTTCATCAGGCTCTTTGGTGTCAAAAATGAGCACTTGTGCATCGTGGTTTCCACCTCCATGTTGAGCAAAGTGATCAATGTTGGGCCCTCACATTCACTTGGCAGGATGGATGGTGATATTTTCTAACAAGTCAATATTGACCTGAGGGAGTGGATGATTGGTTGGTCTGATGTCCTGGACATGCAGGGTGGGGTGTTTGGAGTGGTTGGAAGTATGATGTTGATTTGACAATGTCCATAGAAGATCATGATTGGCAACCCCCATTATTTGTTTTTGTTGAACTTGGTGGAGAGTGAGCCAAAAAGCAGACTGGAATGCCTCATCAGAGATGGCCTTATGGTAAGGCAGGTGGAAGGCACCAATATTATCAATCACAATGTCACAGACAAAGTACAGCCCAGCTTCATACATGAGTGGCATGATTGCATCATCATCTTGATCTTCAAAATCATCATCATAGTCATCATAGTCTGGGTACATATGTTGGTAAACTTCTTTTGCCAGCAGGATGAATTTCTCATTGGGTCAATGATGCAGGCCATTGATGATCCAGATCATGAGGGCACCCAAGCCTAGAGCACAGTCTGATTTTCTGTCTCTGAATTCACTGTGAAGCAAGTTTTTGATCACCATGTGGACTGCAACTAATTGGTACCACTTGGACCACCTAACATGATCAAGAATATTTAGTGATTGTGATAGCATGAGAAGAATTTACACTTACCACCATGACTTAGCAGGGAGATGCACTAAACAATACTGCAAGAGTCAACTTGGGATGGTAGTGAAGGCTGAGAGTGCCTGGGAGAATCCAACTCAAACTTTGAGCCTTGCACAACCTTCCTGTGCATGTCCAGCCTCACCACCAGTACAATTGAACAAGATCTTGCTCATCTCCTCAGTTTTCTTGATGAGGGTTTCAAGATTGTCTGTGATGAAGAGAGACATGAGATCCAGTGGAGTGAATAAACCTGGATGAAGCTGGTATGACATAGTCTTCTCTGTTGCATAGGCCTGGATGTAGTGAACTTCATCATCATGACCTTTCCTCCCAGGTGCATATTGGAAACCAGCAAGTTCTTTTAGGTGCATCATGTGATCAACATGGAATGGGGATTTGATGACTATTGGGTTGATGACTTCCTGATCCAGAGATGGGAGACAATGGTTGAGAACAGTTTCATGCCCAGTGGCATGCTAAGTGACCACCTGGTCATATTATCCAAATTCAAGACCAACATCAATGTACCAACTGTCTGGATCTATCCTCTCCATATGAAGCACATCAATGAACTTTTGGAGGGCCAGATCTTGATCCTGTGCATCAAGGGGATCATGCACAGTGGCACCCTTCCACCCTCTGAATTCATGGACATAGTATGCATCTTGAAAGTAGGGTTGCAGAGTAGCAAGTTGGTGAGATGTTCCTCCCCAAAAATGGGCAGTATATGGGCAGGAACATCAAGAGAGCCTTCATGGATCTTTCCCATTCTGTCACAATAGAGGCTGAGAGCTGAGGAGTAGCTGGCTGTCCAATGGGATGCCATGTTATGCATGTGCCTTCACACAAGTGGATGCAGGCATTTATCATACACAAGTTTGAGATCTTGGGATGGGATAGCCCTGGACTCACACTTGCTGACCTTGCAAAAGGAAAATTTTTGGATCTTGTGTATTGGCAAGTTCAACTGTCTTCCCTGTTATGTAGGATTTGGTCAGACACTGATCCAGCTGCTTGGCGCATAGGCAGGAACTAATCACCCACACCCACATAGGCCTTGGCCTTGAGATGATTATCTGTCTTCAAATATATTTAAATGGAGGGATTGGAGTGAGTTCCAAATGATTGGAGTATGGAAAATCATGTGAAAATGCCTATGAGGGAATCATAGTTGCAAGAGACTTCATAGGCCTGCAGTCCAGGAGGTTGTTGACCTAAAGATTGACTATGGTCAGATTGAATGGTTGCACCTAAGTTGGATGATGGCTATCTTGGATGGTCAGTCACTACATATCTGTGCATATAATGGGGAATGAAAGGGTTGCACCTCAGATTGATGACAGCCATCTTGGACAGCCAATCACTATGGACCTGTGAATGTAATTTAATATGGAATGGTCACATCTAATGATTGATGGTGGCCATCTTGGATGGCCAGGCACTATGTACCTGTGCATATAATGAGGAATGCAATGGTCACACCTAAGTTTGATGATGGCTGTCTTGGACATCCAATTGCAATGGACCTGTGAATGTAATGGAATATGGAATTCTTGCATCTAACAATTGATCATGGCTGTCTTGGATGACCAGTCACTACAGACCTATGAATATAATGGGGATTGGAATTGTTGCACCCAAACATTTGCTTAGATGGCCAATTGCTGCAGCCATGTGAATATAATTGGTGAGGGAATAGTCACACCTACTATTGATGATGCACTGCCTAGGATGGCTAGTTGCTAGGTGCATATCAAAATTTTTGGAAGTGGAATGGGCACATAAATCTTCACAATGACCAGCTGCCATGGCCTTCCCAAGTGATGTAACAAGTGACCACATTCATTGTCAGATGCCTATGGGATCTGTAAGGGGGGTGGCCATCTGGGATAGCCAACATACACACAGGTCTGATTGTGTCACCATGAGTGGGTGCCTACTTGGATGGCCCATCAGTTGCAAATAGGTTGTGTTGCATGACCCAGGCCCACAGTACAACTGGCTGCCTTAGACAGCCAACTGCTACTATTATTCCATCTTATCCACACAATTACCACTGATTTGCTTCCCTCACACACACACCACATTCTTAGATACTCTGAAAATTTAATGCAGTGGTATTAGTACTGGCATTCAATGTCATCAGAGACATGTTATGATGACTGTCAACAAGTATTTGGCCATCTTGGATGGCTATCACATGTGGGGTATGAGAACCTGAGGTGAGATGACCATGAGGTCTATGAAGCAGGTGGCTGTCCAGGATGGCCACAATGTTGTTGGGGTCACTGATCACATGATGATGAGATGTTACAGTGGCTCAAAAAACTGTCCCAATGTTTGAGCAATTTTGATTGATGGGAGTGTAGCATGTCAATGACTAAGAACTGGTCCAAGTGGTTAGTTTGGGGTGCGAAGCCCATGGTCTGGGCTTTCTAACAAGTCCTAGGTGATGATGGCCAGGTGAAAACTAGTGGGGGTATGATCCATTTGGTGTGGTGATGCATTGGGACAATTTTTTGAGTTTGAACCCAGTCTGCATAGTTTTGAGTTTCACGAAGTTTAAAATGCTGTGAGGTGCTTACTAATGCTTACATATTATATCACATGGTCTATTCAAGGATTTGTCACCTATACAAACAATGCCAAACAATGAATTGAGACCATCAAGGTTCCCTCTTCTACCTAACTCATGAAACCAGCCTCCTGGTCCATCTGGGTCATTTTCTCAGAGTAATCTCCATAGATATTAGTGTCCACTACAGTAATGGCATCAGGGTATATGTCCAACACAATCAAACACTTAAAAAATGTGCTTTCAGTCATCCCTGTGCTGTTTCCCCCACTCATACCTGACATGTTCATGCAACTAATCAGTACTGAGAATGCTGAAAAAGCCATTATGGTTAATCTGTCACTGTAAAACATAAGCAAAAATCCAATCACCTCTTATCTGGTGGGTTCCCACCTTAGGGGTGCTGGGTTGAGGGCTAGGGTGAGCTAAAACCCTTCATTGCAGTCCAGGTGCCCTGGGGGGGATAATCCACTGAACTACTAGGAAGGAGATTCCATCAATCCATCCAGCCCTGAGTTTTACCTATGGTCTTATATGACCAAATCAACCATTCCCAGTCATCCACAGTCAGCTGAGAGCACAGTCTAGCCATGCTTCCCATGCCACCTGAAGTGCACAGGAATGTTTTGTCTCACCCCAGCATTGAAACTAGTTGCACTGTGGTGAAAATGTACTGGTTAAAAGGTGTTTTGTTTGTTCATCATTTCCTGATGTGCCAGATTGACCTCCCTGGCATTTCCAGCTGTCTCAGTACTGATTAGTTGCAGAACATGTCAGGTATGAGTGGGGGAAACAGCACAGGGATGACTGAAAGCACATTTTTTAAGTGTTTGATTGTGTTGGACATATACCCTGATGCCATTACTGTAGTGGACACTAATATCTATGGAGATTACTCTGAGAAAATGACCCAGATGGACCAGGAGGCTGGTTTCATGAGTTAGGTAGAAGAGGGAACCTTGATGGTCTCAATTCATTGTTTGGCATTGTTTGTATGGTGACAAATCCTTGAATAGACCATGTGATATAATATGTAAGCATTAGTAAGCACCTCACAGCATTTTAAACTTCGTGAAACTCAAAACTATGCAGACTGGGTTCAAACTCAAGAAACTGTCCCAATGCATCACCAAACCAAATGGATCATACCTCCACTAGTCTTCACCTGGCCATCACCACCTAGGACTTGTTAGAAAGCCCAGACCATGGGCTTCACACCCCAAACCAACCACTTGAACCAGTTCTTAGTCATTGACATGCTACACTCCCATCAATCAAAATTGCTGAAACATTGGGACAGTTTTTTGAGCCACTGTAAGTTGCATGCCAGCCATCCAAGATGGCCAAAAATTGCTGATCAGCCATTAGATGACAGCATGGCAATTCATTATAATGTGTTAAATATAACTTGTTAATCTTCCAATCCTGTGTTCCACCTAATTGCATCTCCTCACAACAAATGAAATCCCATGTAATGTGCCCCTTGCTGACACATTAGCTGAGTAATACAATAAGTTTATACTCCACTAATATTCTGATCCTGTGTAGGTGCTGATGGTCATCCAGGATAAGAATGCCATACATTGCCAACTTTGATAGCACTATGTTGACATACAAATGTGCATGTGGCACCCTCAAACAATATTGGGACACATCACATCACATGAAATTGGCTGGTGTGGACAGCTGTGATGTCCATTCACCATGCCAGTCATGCATGTGTGTACAGCAACACAACTAAACACAAATGTATGTCATTCCTCAGCATGGTCAACATACCAACAAATGACCCAACTGAAGACATGTATAGATGTGGGGGGGGATATGCAAAGTAGAGAATGATGTATGTAGGGGACATTGCAGCAGACAGCATGATGTAAAATAGGGACAATAGTATGATTGGAGCAGCAGACAGGCAAGTTAACTTGAGGACAAAGATCATGGCTTACCCTGACAGCTACCTCTGCCACCTTTGCCACCTCTAGTGCCCCTTCTGCACATGGAGGTGGGTTTGGAGCTACCACTCCCATCCTTGTTTGTTGCCAATGGGTGGCAATGTGTGGCATTGCAAAAACCTGACCCAGCTGTGCTTGGACCCACAGATGATTCACCTGCATCATCTGGCACTGATGGCAGGGGTGGGGTGAGAGGTGATAGCATAGGCAACTGGAGATTCTTGAGGGCCAGAGCTTTGTCTTCATTGGGATTATTTTGGCCACTGGGTTCCAGCAGCTGGGCCAAGATCTTGTCAACAGGGTCTATGACAGAGGTGTCTGAGCTGACTTGTCTTGTGATGTTGACACAGTTGCTGAGCCCTCTTCAGCCTGCATTGCAGCCATCACCACAGTGAGTGAGTTTACTGTGGCTTTGACCATGGTCACTGTGCCACTCTGTCTGTGCCTGGGCTGTTTATCAGTGGTTTTGGGAGAACTCACTGGGGCACACTTGTCACTCATCTCCTTGCTCCCAGATGGTTGGACATCTTCCATCCCTAATGGGTTGTCCAATGACCCAGTGTTGTGATGCATGGGGCCATTTCCCTTTTCTGTCAATGGTAGGCTTGGGTGGGGTTTGGGTTTAGGATTGACATGTGATATTGGTCTCAGTGGTGCATTGTCATTGTTGCTGCATGAGTGGTTGAGATCGACAATATGCTGTCACCATCATTATCATTCTCAGATAACCCTTCTGTAGTCATGAGAGATGGATAGGGATGGATATTAGATATGGGTGGGGGGGGGGGGTGCTAGCATGCACTTATTGATTTCATCCATACACCCCATGAACATGGAGTGAAGTTGCCCTTTATCAAATGGTGTATTGTTTAAAAAGACATCTGGGGTTGACAAGTGATGAGCTGGTATGCATGGACTTGCTTTTGCTGGGGGTACCATTCTCCCATGTGGCTGCTCATCATCAAGTGCTGACCACATAGTGTCCTGTGATATGTATAAGTGATTGATGAATATCTAGATCCAGATGTGTAATACTTACTACAATTACCATGATATTTGCACATGCCAGGTTAAGACCTACCATCCCAATGTTAGGGATGATGAGCATACAATGACTGGTCATCTATGTTGACATGTGGAAATTGTCCAGTGCTGCCTGTCACTTCTTCAGTGTCATAGTCCTGTTCAGCTCAACTGCTGTGATGTCATATAAAGCAGGAATCTGGCATCATGACTAAAATTTGAATGAGGGAAGTGAGTGTGAACATACATCAATCAATGCCTGATTGGAGGATGGGAAGGCAGAATATATGATGACTTGATCATCCACACCATACTCATGGTCATCAGCAATGCCATTGGGAAATGCAATGAGGGTTTGACCATCATCATCCATAGTGAGGGGAATGTGGCAGCTTGAATAAAGATGGTGGTGGACCACCTGGGAAAGGGTGTCCAATTCAATAGTCCTCTCACCTTGCCAATGTGTGAGGGACTCTGGTCATTTCCATGGACCACCTGTGGGCAGCAGTGGGCTGGGCATGTGAAAGATTGATGGCTGCAGCCACATCTGTTCCAGTGGAGATACCCTGAACAGAAAGTCAGAATAAGTGACTGGTCACTTGTCAGAGGTGCCAGGTTACTTACAGTGGGTCTGGGGGGCTGGGAAAGTTGTGACATGACATGAACACATGCAAGTCAGTGTGGTTTCCTGTGCATGATGCATGGTACAACTTACCTGGGGCACAGCAGTCCTTTTGTTGGAGATATATTCTCCCCTGTGTTCTGCTTACTTTGGTGTGATATTTGGCTGCTTACATAAGCCATTAGAGCACACTTACTGCACAGTCATTACACTGTTCCCTCAGTAGATTGCTCAATACTGAGGGTAAGATTACCATTCATTGGCAGTATTCTACTTACTGACTCCCTGTAGTTGCCTACAGGTATATCTAATATAATAGTAGATCTTCACTACTGAGGTTGCCTACAGCACCCTTTTTCTATACCTTTTGCCAGACTTACTGTTGTTGTCATTGGACTGCAGGCAGGGGGAGAGAAATAAGCAACTGGTTGCTTATTTTTCCAATGACTTTAACTTACTTTGGCCTGGGTTTTGTTGGTGCTGGACAAGTTTCTGTTTTGTATCTGTTTGTACTTAATCTTAATGCAGCAGGTAGTGGTTCAAGTTCAAGATGCAAAAGTTACATGGCCACAAATCTGACCTTGGTATATACTTGTTTGTTGCTTATGTAATGCTGTCACTTCCATATTTGGATGTTAGATAATCAATGAACTATGTGAAAGTGGTGCTATTTATTGCTTATGTAATCAATTAAGTAAGCCAATACTGGCTTGGGTGTGCACCCAATGGTTGTTGGCATGCCCCCCAAAAAAATAGGTGACCAGTTGCTTATCTTGGGTACATACACTGGCACTTTGGTTGCCATACCTGTCCAGAGTTGGACTGGCTCATGTGTGTACCACATGCTGGCATGCCCCACAACCATAAGTGACTGGTCACTTATCTTGGTATACCAGTGTTTTGGTTGATGCTCCTGACCAGAGTTGCTTCATTCAGAAAAAGAGGCATAGATCCCCACACAGCATTGTAATACAATCAAAGCAGAGTGACATTGACAAGTGCATACATAAATTCAACTACAAAAGCATAATGGTTTCATAAGAAACCAAGGCTTGCCTGCATTCCAGAGGGGGCCCTCCCCCAGAAGTACAGTTGGGCCAATAAAAAACATCCTCAATTCAACCAAGTTTCCAAAAACCACACAACAGATAATGACAAAGATCCTAAATGCACATTAGCATCAAAACAACAATGCAAGGTTCACCTACCTGAGGTGAACCATCACCAGGAGAACAAGACAGACAGCTCTACAGGTCTGATGTCAGTACAACATAGCTTCTACAACAGCTGAACACTTACTATGATGAACCCTATCACCAAGTAGCCACTACCAATATGTATATACAAAAACTAACATATCATTTGCTGGACTACACTTGTAGACACAGGAAATAACACCATAAGCTGACCTACAATGTAGGCTTAGACTAACCCCCAGATCCCAAATCAGCTGGCCTACATGAAGTAGGCACAGACTATTCCCCCAGAGCCAACACATTACCCCCCAACTGAACATTGTGCTGGCAGATGTAGGAAGCCATATACTCCCTGAGGCTGAAACAGGAAACTGTCAGTAAATTCTGCTGCCTCTGTGACAAGCCCCTATCACTCTGTGCCTTTGGAATTCTTCCTGCTCATTGCCTCATATTTCATCCCACCCCCTTTCAGCTTTGGAGTTTCTCCCAACCTTCAATGTGTCACCCAGTCATCAATAAGCTGATCCAAAAATTCCATATTCACCCAGAGTTGTCAACAAGCTGATCTGGAATTCCACAACTGATCCACCACCCAGCCACATCACCAGTCATCTGTGCCAATCATCTCTAAAAAAAACCCTGGTTGCCCCTGTTGCCCCAAATTCCACAAACCATTCTTTGAACCCATACACTCTTCCCTTCTGCACTTCTGCTTTCCTGCCAGCTCCACTTTTCACCTGTACATGTACCCTTGTTCTGTTGGAAGATACCCCCTTGCCTTTGTTCCATTTACTCTTGCTTACCACTCACTGGACTATTTCATGTGCATTTGTAGTTTGCTGATGTCTGCCATCCTTTCCTTTATTTTTTGGTCTTTTAGTTTTTCTGCCCCACTTTACTCTGACTTGTACCTATGTCCCATGTAGTATATAATTCCACTGTAGTGTCAGAAAAATACCACCCACTTTTGGAGTCACTATCTGTGTGTGTTTTGTGAGTTCAAGAGTCCCCAGAGTCTAAAAGCATCTATTGAATCTACAGGATCTACAGTGTCTTCAGTGTTCTCCATGCCTCCTGTGCCCCCCAGTCCATTGCACCTTATCTTATGTCTCCCCCATCTCAGATACACTCTTCTTGTTGCATAACTGCCTCTTGGAATTCTGTATACCAAATCTGCTGTTCCTTGCATGTCCACAACCCTCTGGAATAAAATTCTGCATTCTTCACACACATACCCTATCCCTTCTAGTGTTATCCTTGACTTCTCTTTCCACTCAGCATCCCTTGGGATGACCCTAGGGAAATCTCCCTACAGTCTTCCTCTGGACACACACTTCCCAGAAGTCATGTCCCACACTGAGCACAATAGAAGGTGGAGGGTATCCCCTCCCTACATCCTGTAGCTGCAGACTACACTCAGTGGGGAGATACCAAGGGTGCTACAAGGTAACAGTGATCAAGTAGAGTGGAAAATTTGAGATCAAAGGAAACACTTACCTTATCAAAGCCAAGATGACATGCTGAGGTAAAGACAAAGATGATGAGCAGCATGAATGGGAGAGAGAGAGAGAGAGGGAAAGGAGGAATGACAGGGGAGAAGTATCACATCACAAAGAAACACAGTAAGGAAATGGGGGGGAAGCATGCCAACAACTGGGGTGGATTTATTTACTTGAGTCTTGTGTGCCATTGTTTGGCAACAGTCCAACTAGCAAGGTCACTGTCAAAGTTCAGCCTCTATACATGTCACATTCTCAGCCTTGGCACATGTTCAGTTGGCACAAGTGCCAGCAACTGCCTCTGAGTCAATACCACTTGTTGTACTATACATAGCAAATAGCAATGTCATGTGGCTCCACTGTCACCATGATTCAGCTTCTCTATACTAAATGTTCATTTGACATTCCCATAATTGCAGTGTCAAGCCAAGCAAGTGCTCACTCATGCCATTGCATGACCACACTCACTCAGATATCAATCAGTTGTGGGATTAACATTGAACACAGGACATCTTCAAGCAGTAGTAGTGGCTACTATTGGGACTTCACAGCAATCATATTGTAGTAGTGCTACTGGATCATTTACTACATGTAGCCATTTATTGAAACTGGAAATCAGCCCAGCACTGACTGACCACTCCATAAATAGTACTATGTAATGTTCCAGTCTTGAACCTGATTCTAATTCAGGGTTGCAGGAATTGAAGTGGCAACTGGACATTCCATTGTATGAGGATCTCCACCATGTATGTCTACTAATCAACTTTAATTGCATGCATTTTTGTGGCATAAAATATCTATGTCATTCAAGTCAAAAATTTTTGTGATTCATGAGCAATCCTTGCAATGTGTCTGACTGAGCAAGGTGCATCCAAAGTATGGGTAAACAGGTGTGATAATTGTGACATCCATGACATTGTCCATGTCAAAATCAAGGTTGTGTCAAGATTATCATAGATCCCACTATGCACATGTTCTGTGACAGTGTCTACCTGTCCAAAATTGAGATCTGTGCATCCAAGTATCCAGATTGACAGTCTCTTGCTCCTCTCTTCCTGCCATGCAATGTCTCCCTCACAAAACTTCTTTGTGCTGTCCCAGCCTGCATCTCAGCAAAATTTTAGGTATGTCATCATCCTCTAGATCACATGGTCTGGATAATACTCACATAATGCACTAGCATGACATTGTGAATTAATCTCTCCCACTTCCATGCCACCTCTCCCTCAAGATTTTCACATGTTGCTCTCTCACTCAGCACCTCTCACATCTCTCCTCATCTAAACACAAAATATGTAGGTACATTGTCCCTGTGATGCCATGTCTCCCTTCAAAAAAACAAAAAAGGTATGTCATTGCACCTCTCACAGCATCTTTAGAACACTCACATCACACACTAGGACACTGCCAGTTCATATCCCCCTTCTTCAGTTCTGAGTCTCTCTACTGCATGTTATTTGGTGTCCCTGTACCACTCACAAAACCTGTCTTGATGTTGTCATACACCAAAGGTGTTGTGGACATGGTTACAGCTGACTCCACCTAACTTGTCAATGAGTTGCACACAATGCCATGGATGCAGATGAAGACTATAGCCCTCATGCACAGAAAGACTGCTGGACATTAGCAGTTGTCCTTCACACATGAATGAGTCATCAGTGCCAGAGAGAAAATAGGAAGCAAGTTAAGCACCCATCAAAAGTTTTTAGTGCCCATGTATGGCATTCCAGTTCTTGTTGTATCTCCCCCATTTCCAAAGATATCAACTCTGTTCTCACACTTAAAGTACTCAGCCATGCAATCCTGCCTTCCAAGTTTGGAAAGGATCCTCACACCCTATACATTTCTACAGCACCCCATCCATCAGATGCTGATTCCACTAAGTCCATCAGAAATGGCCACCTCCTCATCAATCATCTCACTTGTCTCCTTTGCCAGAGACAGTGGCTATGTAGATCTGCCAGGCATTCCCACCAGCTTCCATCCTGAAGCCCCCTGGTTCATCCCATCATTGTCAGCCCCATCTCATCCCATGCAGCTTGGTCAGCATGTTCTCCTTGTCAGTATGACTTCCAGAAGGATGTTCTTTGGTCACCTCAGGTCTGTCACACAGTTAGAAAGGTCCTATGTAGTCATTTCAGTCTCCCTACTTGATGAAGCATATGGATCCTTCCTCCCTGCTCCCTGAAATGTCTTTATTCCAATCTCATCCATCATTCTCCCCACATTGCAACAGCTGCAGCATAATCTACTGTTCTCTGCCCTCCCAGATCACATCCATGACAAGTATGACATGTATCTTGCCTTCTTACTGCAAGACCCAGAAGAAGACATGCCCCTTTCTCCTTCTCCTCCATCAGAGCCTCATTCATGAAGTGTTTTGTTAACTTTGCTGAGAGGATGAATGGGTGGGAGATGTGATTGCCTATGCTCCTGTTGCCCTCACAGACCCCCAACACCCTAGCCCTTTGACCCCTGATTCATGCCCTTCATTTCTGGATTTAATACTTCCCCATCTGGGAACACCATCCATCTGTCATCCCATCCTTTGATCTAGTGATGTCTCTGCCAAGATCTGTCATGCATTGCCACCCCCTGATGTGATACCAGTGCACTTACTCAGTTTCTGATGTTCTTTGACTCATACTGTGATATTTTGGCTGTCCTTGACTCATTTGTTGTCAATACTTACCAATCTTCTTTGCTTGCTTACTTTTCATTCCTCACTTACTCATCATGATTACTCATTGCTTACAGTCCTTACTCATTACTTACCAAGCATTTGTGCCTTGTTTGTCATGGGCTGTGCTCCCCCACAGTATATAAACCCCATGTACTTAGCTACAACAGAAGCAATCAGAAGTCAGCAGTCAGTTCAGCTCATCTCTGAAGTAACTCATTGTCAACATTGAGGCTCCACAAAGGGGTCTATCTGTCATCAATCCTTGTCCTTGGTAGTTGAGGCTCCATCAAGGGTCTATCTTCATTATCTGTAGTCCCATCCATGCTTAGTCATCCTTTCACTCCTGCATAACTCAACATCAACTTGCACCAGGAGTCATTTTGGCTGAATACCCTTGCTCTATCCAGCTTCCTCCTCACAGTCATCATCTGTTCATCTACTCCTATGTAACTCATTGTTGACTTGCACCAGGAGCACCTGCCATTGAAATCCCCACACTTTAGATTTTTCTGCCCTTCAGGATCCACAGAGGTACACCACCACTTGCTCACTATTTGTCTTTGGTGTTTGTTTTGGTTGGTTTCCACCACCTTTCCACACTTTGACTCACACTGTGTCTCATCCAAAAAAAAGGTTTGTCATCCTAGCTTGCAGTGTCCCTGTACCACTCACAAAACACCCCCTCCTGCTGTGTCTCATCCAAAAAAAAGGTATGTCATCCCAGCTTGCAGTGTCCCTGTACCACTCACAAAACACCCCCTCTCACTATGTCTTATCCAAAAAAATGGTATGTCACCCCTGCTTGCAGTGTCCCTGTACCACTCACAAAACACCCCCTCTCTCTATGTCTCATCCAAAAAAAAGGTTTGTCACCCCTGCTTGCAGTGTCCCTATACCACTCACAAAACACCCCCTCTCACTATGTCTCATCCAAAAAAAAGGTATGCTATCCCAGTTTGTAGCATCCCTGTACCACTCACAAAACACCCCCTCACTGTGTCTCATCCAAAAAAAGGTATGTCATCCCAGTTCATGGTGTCCCTGTACCACTCACAAAACACCCCCTCTCACCATGTCTCATCCAAAAAAAGGTACATCATCCTAGTTTGCAGCATCCTAATACCACTCACAAGACACACTAGTAGGCTATTGATTCATATATTCCTCCTGCTGCACTGCATCTCCCTTGCTGTGTCTCATCCAATAAATAGGTATGTTGTTGGACTTCTACTTCATGGTGTCCAGATGGGTGTCCAGATGATACTCACACATCCCCCTCTCTGGTCTGCTTATCCAGTGTGTGTAGTTGAACAAATCAGATCACATTGGCTTGTCTTTTCCATAAATATGTAGATATCTATCCCTGCTCCATGATATATGCACCAAACTAAATGCATTTATTGTTATCTTATTGCTTGTCCCCTACCCCTTTCACATCCCATAAAGATAACAAGGTACACTACTTTCCTTTCTGCATCACACATTGCTGCCACTCACTAATGTTGGCACACTAGACTAAGATGGTGAAGACCAAGCAGACAGCTAAGAAGACTGCTGGAGGTAGAGCTCCCAGGGTATCTCTTACTGGTCTGCAAGCTAGGGAAAAATAAGCTGCCAAGTCAAGCAAGGCCCATGCTAGGAAGGCCCCTGTTGTCAAGAAAAGAAGGATGAGGAACTTGGTAAGTCTGTTGTTATATTCCATCCATCTTCCTAACATGCTATGCAGTTCTGTGTGATGTGCAGGGATGGAGGGACATTGTGGCCTTGTGATCAGGCAGGTTGCAGAAGGGTAGTGTGTAATAAGTGTGTTGTAGTACCTGAGGATTGCCTTGAAGAGGTCTGCCCAACCCTAACTCCAGGTCATGGCTCATTCCCCCAGCCACATCAGCTGACCCCACTGCCAGGACATCAGCCCCTCCCCCAGCCATGTCAGCTGGTCCCACTTCCAGGTCATCAATCCATCCCATAGCTGTGCTGGCCACCCCACTTCCAGGTCACTAATCCATCCCCCAGCCAAGTCAGCTGACCCCACTTCCAGGTCACCAATCCATCCCATAGCCATGTCAGCTGACCTCACTTCCAGGACACTAATCCATTGTGTCAGCCAACCCCACTTCCAGGTCACTAATTCATCCCATAGCCATGTCAGCTGACCTCACTTCCATGACACTAATCCATTCCATAGCTGCATTGGCCAACCTCACTTGTAGGATGCTAATCTATCCCATAGCTGTGTCAGCTGACCCCACTTCCAGGTCACTAATTCATCCCATAGCCACATCAGCTGGCCTCACTTCCAGGACACTTATTCATCCCACAGTTGCATTGGCTGACCTCACTTCTAGGATGCTAATCTATCCCATAGCTGCATCAGCTGGCCCCACTTCCAGGTCACTAATTCATCCCATAGCCATGTTAGCTGACCTCACTTCCAGGTCATCAATCCATCCCATAGCTGTGCCAGCTGACCCCACATCCAGGGTAGTTGATCCATCACCCTATGACATAGGTCAACCCCACCTTCACAGTCCAGCCTACCCACCCCCAGGGACCACCAGCCAATGTCAGTTAGTCCCAGTTTCAGGTCAAAATGTACTTGTTGGATGACCCACTTTTAGGACTACAAGTGACTGAATCATGTGCACCTGGTGTTCTTGAACTTCTCTACTTTGTGATTAACCTACAATTATGGTAAGCATGTGTGATTGCAGGTAGACAAGAGCAATACCTGCAGCTGTGCAAGCCACGAAGGATCATTGTCATCTTTAATCCCACAACCATGCTCATCTGACCAAGTCCAACTTGTTACACTCCTGAGATCATTCACAAGAGCATGCATCCTTTTGAACTACAATGACATCAGACAGCAAGATAATAATAAGTCACTGCTCACATCTCCATGGTACAGTGGCTCAAAAAAGTGTCCCAATGTTGGGTGATTTTGGCAGGATTTGAGATTTATGAGAGAACCAGTAGGAATCAGTTCAAACTCCTGTAGGACCAAAAATGGTACTAACTGTTGCCTTGACAACAAGTGGTTTTTCATATGATTTGGTTGCTATGGCACTGAGATATAACCAATTTAAAATGACAGGAGAATAGTTGCTAGTGTGACCTCTGGAAGAGCTGAAAATGCCATCCAGGCCACACATATAATAAGTGCTTTCCTTTCCTCTCCTGTTACATCCAAAACTGCTTTAAGTGTGCTCAATTCTGCATCCCTGGAGGCTCTAGTCAAGCAGGAGGGGCCACTCTTGTCTGACAAGCATAGGCAACAGGGACCTGCCTTTGCTCTTAAGCACCAAATCTTGACCTTTGAGGACTGGAATAGGGTCATCTGGTCACTTGGACTAAGATCAATAGGTTTGGGTCAGATAGGAAGGAAATTTGTGTTGAAAATGGTAGGAAAGCCTTTGCAGGATAATGTTCCTGCTTGACTACAGCCTTCAGGGATGCAGAATTGAGCACACTGCAAACCATTTGGGAAGAGACAGGAGAGGAATGGGCCACTCTCACTATATGGGTGGCCTTGATGGCATTTTCAGTTCTTCCTCATCTAGATGGAACTCTTTGATGACCCTGGCCACTGTAGAGCTTCCCAGACCAGTTCTAGAGGAGATTTGATGAGCAGAAAGGCCAGGTTCAGGAAGGGGATGGGTGTTTGCTCTAGCAGGGGCAAAAATGCATTTCATGGTGGAGTAGGGTTAGCTGAGTGTGACCCAAGCCATTTTTATGGCTCAGGATTATGTACATTACATGATCAGGCAAGGTTGAAGCAAAAAATCCTTCAGATGTTGTCAAATCCATATGTTATTTACTAAATAATGACTGACAACATCATGCTCAAAAAAGTGTCCCAATGACATGTCATTTTAAATTGGTTATATCTCAGTGCCATAGCAACCAAATCATATGAAAAACCACTTGTTGTCAAGGCAATAGTTAGTACCATTTTTTGTCCTACAGGAGTTTGAACTGATTCCTACTGGTTCTCTCATAAATCCCAAATCCTTCCAAAATCACCCAACATTGGGACACTTTTTTGAGCCACTGTACTTGCATTTGCATGCCAATGTATGCTTTGGTGCACCTTTGTATTCTGGCAACTTGGCTCTCAAATGAGCCACTGCTGTCTCAATAACTGAGTCCTTGAACCCTCCATTGCCAGCACAAGGCAAAGACTTGAGTAAGAATTCAAGGAGGGCAATCTCCTCCTCTGTGTTCCAGAGACAGCTTTGTGTGTGGGTAGGTCTTTTACTAGCATTCTGCAGAATGGTAAGATCCACTGGGCCACTCAAGCAAAGAGATTGAGATTGCCTAGACCTATTGCTGTATGAATTGGACATGTCAGGAGGCTTACTGCATAGGACTCCCAGGGGAGTGACAAACAGGACAAGGTTACCTAATCATGTTCCCACAACCTATGTCACATGACACCATGAGAGAAATTTTCCATATAATACTATCACTTGACTGGTGTTGTATCAAGACAAGGCCCCTAGCATCATATAGCTATGTAGTACTTTCTGCTGCTTATTATAGCTTTATGTGGACCTTTATGCTCCTAATTCTTTTAAGGCATAAAAACTATTTATAGCAAAGCCCCTGTTTTGAAAAGCAGAAATAGCTTCATATGATGATGTATGACACAACAATGGCAAAATATGGCAATGTTTATTGTGCATATAGCAACATTGGAGGGACATATAGCAAACAAAAGAATCCTCCCGAGGCATTGGTGAGCATGCCTTTTGGTGCCATAGATGCTCCTTTTTTTCCATTTTGTCCTTTTTTTCACACTTTGTTGTAATCAAGAATCAAGCTTATATTCCTATCATAACTACAATACAAAGACTACACACTACACTCATAGAACTAGTAGCTTATCATGGCACCTGAGTCTGATTGTAGTAGTCAGCAGAAAACTAGGGCAAACAATGTTGAAGCACCAACTCACCTGTTTGCTCTGTGAATGGCATTGGAGCCATGGAGGATGAAATTAATGATGGATGGGAGCCAAGATAGGTGTACTGAGGATGTAGGAAGAGGCTTGGACCTGGATGGTGGTGAATTTGGGGTGGATGCAAGAGAGGTAGATTGGATGTAGTGGAAGAGAGTGTGCACAACCATAGGTCATGTGACTTTTTTCCCACAGACTCGCACTTGAAATTCACTGAGTCCAATCCTCCTACAACTTCAATTCCACATAATGCCTCACACATTTGTCTGTAGGCTATGATATTTTGTACATATGTCAATCCATATCACATGCATCCACCATAGAAATATCAAGTGTTAAGATGCCTCCAGTGAGGAAATATTTGACACTCTCAGTTTGTATTGTTTGGCCAATATCTCCCCATTGCCTCATCTGTAGTCAATGATATTTGGCAAGCATGTGCATTGATATAGCCTATGGGTACCTGCAATGTTTGGAGTTGTGGAGTAGGAAATGTGAGGAGGTATTTTGAAAACAGTTACACAGAGGCAATTATGGGATCTCTGAGCCATATCTCTGCCTGTAATGGCCCTAAATCATGCCATTTTGCAGGTGGGTATCCATGTGACATAGAAAAGCACCCCTGGAATGTCAAGGTACAATGATTAACAGTTGCAGTGGTGATCAGTTTTGGATTAGTATGGGATTAGATGCAGAATAGGTTAGGTTTAGGTTTGGATTACAGTAGGATGGGGGTATGTTTGGATTTGGATGAGATTGATGTTAGATTACATATTGGATTAGGATTAGGATTACATGTATAGCAATATATAAAGCCAAATAAGACCACAAAGGACAAACTATAGCACTATAGGTAGTCATACATTTGGAAGCCCTAATATAGCACAATCTATAGCACCATAGGTCACCTTACATTTGGAAGCCCTAATATAGGGCAACCTATAGTACCATGGGTGGCTTTACATTGGAGCCTAAAGCCATCAATGGAGCACAATGTTGCCAATGTTGATCTGACATCAGGCTCTGCTAATCACAAGTGATCTATAGCAACAATGTTGATCCTGATTCATTAGTAGCTCCATAAAGCAACATTGGTTGCTCTATATCAGTCTAGGCAGATGCCACTTTTCCTGATGTGCAAAATGACAGTGTTACAAAATGGTAACTACACCACACCACACTTCAATCCAAGCTGCATAATTGTACATAGGGCACAATATACTATAGACCTAGGGGGCTGTATATTTTTAAAAAAAATAACTGCACTTGTGGACAAGGGAAAATCAATATACTGCTTAAAAAGGGTCCTTTTCAGAATAACTCACCAGGGCTGAAATCAAATCACATCAGAAAATCATGAAATGCTATCTGGGGACTCTTAAGACACTTCCCTGCTTCCTGAAAGAGTTCTGAGGCCAACAAGAAGGATCCTTTGATTGTAATTGTTGTTGCAATAATGTGAGGCAAGAGTGTGACAATACAAGTGGAGCAATGGTGGGGTGACATTATCAGCCACTGCTGATGTAAGTCAGTTTGGAGTATCAGTGCATCAGAGTTACAATGTAAGGTGTGACATTGTGTGACAGCCCTCAGTTTCACAGATCACCTTGTGTACAAGGTCACTGCACCCCAAAAATTGAGACACTTTTTTTGACATCTGCACATATGCCTCAACAACAAGTCCACATGGCAAATCCCACCAGCCACCTCACAACTGTAGCATGCAACTCTGTATCATTTTGTGTCCAAAAACCAGCATCTCTCTGGCATCTTCTACACCACACATACCCTCTTTATTTCTGTCAGAAGTTTCTGTGTTCCTCCACATGTCCATGTATTTTGTAGTGTAATTACCAATGTGATTGTGTAGTTCTGAAGCCATGCTTTCTGATGTTGCAACACCAGTCAAGTGATAGTATATATATTTCAAAATTTTTCAACTGGCATTCCAAACAGGGCCTTGACTGAAAATACACTCATGGTGTAATTGTTGGATAAACACCGAGCAACACCGTCCAAGGAATCACGCACTTACGACATAGAAGAAAATAGAGCTCATGGCGATGTCTATGCTATGTAAAAAATCATCCCGACAATAAAATCACTCATTCCACTGCTCGTCGCAGAACCCTGGCACGTGATGTGATGAATAGCGAGATCTCGGAAGGGTAAAAGCGCCGTCATAGCGAACGTCCAACGATCGCATAACTCGCACCACATCAGTAATAATGAACCTGTTCGGAGCGGTCGATAACCATAAGAAAAGACGTTACAACATTACTTACTTCCTCACGTTCCCGTCCCCGCATGAACGATGGTTCTGTACCCTTGTAGTAGATATCCGTCCACAGGTCCTCTGAGCGAGGGATAGGCGACGTCTTCGCCTCCTCAACGGCCTGGTCGACCTCCCCTTTAGCCTCTTTGTCGAGTTGCTATACAAAATGCATCAGGCAACTTTCTGAATTTGAGCAGAGGGAAGTTCGCACCTTGAGTTCTTGCTCGGTAGCGAGACCCCAATCTTCGATGTATCGTTGCAGGCCGCGGATTGGATCTTGGGTGCTACGCATCCGCTGAACCTCTTCACGGGTACGATAGGTGGTTCCAGGGTCGGACATACTGGTGCAGAACGACCACACTTAGCGTCACTGGTGGTAACGGTGGAAAGCGTAGGGTGACTTACGAGTGACCACCGTAACGGTAGGTAACGAATTCCATGAGAAGTGGGCCGTTACCCTCCACGACCCAGTTACGAGCAAACTGGACTGCATGACGAGAAGCAATGATGTCCATACCGTTGACCTATCAAGAGTCGTGAGTACGAAAGGTCCAGCCCGCAAGGCAATGAACATACCTGAATGCCAGGAATTTTATCACCCCGAGTGAAGTACTCTGTGTTGGAGGAGCTGCGTTCCGCGGAGGTACCCATACCATACTTGTTGTTCTCGCACACAAAGACACAAGGGAGATCCCAAAGCTTTGCCTGTCCACAAAAAGATAATAATCGGTTTTATACATCATGCAGACCAACGGAGACGCACCATATTAAAGGCCTCGAACACCTGCCCCTGATTGCTTGCACCATCTCCATATAAAGCGAACGTGGCTGTCTTCTTACCAAGGTATTTTTGCGCAAACGCGATGCCTGCGCCGACAGGCACCTGAGCACCGACGATACCGTTCCCACCGAAGAACGAGGGTGTGAAGATGTGCATAGAACCGCCTTTACCCTGAGACATGCCGTCTTGACGTCCCAGAAGTTCGGCGATCACGCCTTTGATCGTACCGCCACGCATGACTGCAAAAGGATGACACCGGTAGGCTGTAATGACGCGGTCCTCGGGCGTAATACCATATTCAAGACCAACAGAGACCGCTTCCTATCATACATACACCGTCAACGGTGACCGGAGAAAAAGAAGGCAGAGGCTTAAGACGATCGAAATACCTGACCGATAGCCAGATGGCAGAATCCCCGGATAAGTTTGGCTTTGTACAGCGCATCCGCTGCCATCTCCATCCGGCGCATACATTGCATGTCTTTGTATATCTTGAGTAACTCATCCTTTTGAACCTGGACCTCAAGTGAGGGAGGGTCTATTTTGTAGGTGCGGAAGGAGTCCTCGTGGAGCTTGACCGTGAACGGCTGCGAGGGGTCCGTGATAGCGTCCTGCAGCTGGGTCGTGTCCGCCGACATTTGGATTCCACGAACGAACGTGGGCTGGTAAAGGTGTTATTGGTTCAGGGCGCGGCGAGTGGGCACGGAGTCGGCTTTGATAGACTTACGATGCGACGGGCAAGGCAGGGACGTATCCGTGCGAGGGAGGCCATGGCTGCAGCTGGAAAAGAGACACCTGCACGAAATTTGGTTTTCTGTCTTTCGGCTCGGGTTCACGCGGAAGGTCATGTGACTGTACAGCCACATGGCTTCTCTTTCCCCACCAAACAAACTTCTCTCACCATATTTGGAGCACCCCATGCTGGTATCAACACTTGGGGCGAAAAGGCATATATACACGCCCCCTCTGACATAGGCTTAGCAATGAATAGTAGCGCAAATCGTATGTGAACTGTGTTATTGGATAAAGAAATCGGACGAGCGAGTCTAGCCTTGCGAAGCAAGGGATAGAAAATGGTACACAGCACGACACGATCCAATCAGCTCCGGCGCGGTCTGACATCCAATATCCAAACCAACAGCAACTAAAGAATAAATCGTCTGATGAATTCGCGCGACAGATAACTCATGCATTGTAAATATTCCAGCTCTGTCAGAAAGAAAGATTAACGGCATCCCAGTCAGCACCGCATACTTCCATAACCATAGCCTGAAATAACTCACCTTCCGCCACTGTAATCCCCAATACTCATTGACAGGTCCCTCAATCCCCCACGCCATGCCTCTAAACCACCAAAAATTGGCCACAATCGCGAATGTGGCCACACCGAACACGACACGTTTCGTTTTCTCTTTCCATCGTGCAGAAAACACGCAGTGGTCAATGACATGGCCGAACATGAGGACAGAGAAATAAAGGGTTGGGAGCTGTGAACACGTTGTCAGGGACCTGCTCAGCGAGTAGGCAAGGAAGGATACTGACGTAGTGGTGTAGATAAGTCACCCGACCCATGATAAAGAACGGGGCTATACACGTTTATTAACAGGGACTCCACCGAAACAACGCAGACATACCGTAATGCAAGAACCACCCATAAAACGCAACCTTCCCCACATATAAGAAATGCGCCCAACCAGCTGATGGATACAGCGTCACTATTTCGCATCACGCCACGACGTGGTCACTCACTTGCATCCATGTCCACATATCTCCTCTGCCACCTTACTAAATAAGTTCCCAATAACATGACAAAGACCATCAAACTCAGCGCTCCGCCCCACCATACCAGGGGCGTGCCCAATAAATAATACTTTGGCTGATGGTCACCCCACCCACACATACGCAGACCGAGGCGGAGCCAGGGCCAATCGGTCGGGTGAGATGCTAGAATGTCATCTTTATCCGGGTCGGGGATGAGAGCGTTGTTGGAGGTCATCATTGCTACGTTGAGGTGCCAAAAGTCGCGGAGGAAGGGAGACTTGTAGTGTTTGACGTCGCCAGGAGGTACTGGACGTAAGGACCCAGAAGGTTAGTGTGAGAACAACTCATCAGAAGCGGGAAAGGGAGAGAAAGGAGGAAGCCACGCACGTCGATCATTCCAGTGACTTTCCACATTCCAGTACGTATGTATATCGTCGGGATCACTTTCCTTCACGCAGCTCACCTCGATCTGTTTAAAGCCCCACTGGGGTAAGACCTTATTCGCAGCCGACAGATAACACCCCAATATGTCATGCCTCAACCTTATCCTGGTCGTGAGCGAACGGATACGGTTCACGTTGTCTTTTTTGCCTTGACGGATGTCGTCGACTATTTCGATGACCCAGTGATCTTGGACATCGCCCACAGTCGAGTTACCGTAACATGATACCTCATAATTCGATTTCGCGATAGGGGCAGGTATAGGATGGGAATGAAGATTTCGAGTGGTGGGGGGATGTTGCAACCGAACCACGTCTCCGTCTTTGACGAATCTCAGTTCGTTGTTTGGGTTGTATGCTGGTTCGTTCCAGCGAGGTAAGACCAGCCAATGATTGTTGTCGTCTTTGTAATGGTAGCATGTCACTTGCTGTTGATTGGATCCGGAGGGGTAGGTTTGGACGTGCGAGTGGAGTAAGCCACCTCCCCAGCCCATATTTTTTAGCGTGATTTTGGAGCCATAGGCGACCTCTTGTGTGGCGTGTAAGTTGGGGGATACGTGGGAAGTATATGAAATACGAACCGAGGGGATTTTTCCAAAAGTCATTCCCGACCAAATGGGCTTGGAACAGTGAGCTCATTTGGGCGTCGCCGGGACCCGTATGGTTCAGTATGAGAAAATGGAGTTTGAAAGAAGCCATGTACACCAGAATGGGGAGAATAATCAAACACAAAATTCGCGCGCTCCAGTGTCGTAGTTGATTCCGCTGGTAATGTGCGTGAAGAATGGAGGAATGAGGTAGACATGTTGACTCACCGTTGACATGCGGAGGTCACCGAATTTGTCCCATAGGTCCTCGATCGTGTAAATACCGACGACGGCAGTAACAAATAGCCCCACCCATTTCACACTGGCAGATTGGACTTAGGTCAACCTCGGTGTAAATTGTTGGTCCATTTACCTCGTTACACAGCCAATGGAGATGCCCGTCAGGCCAAGCCATAACCACCAGTCGAATGAGAACGAACTGGATAGGAAGTGAGCCCCTAATTGGTGAAATAGTGCGGGAAACGTACTGATATTGTTGGTTGTGGAATTTGGTGAGGAAAAAGACGGTCGTGAAAGTGAAGAATAACAACATGGAATCCAAAAGAATGAAACGCGATATACACAACCAAGCCACGTCTGGAATGCATTAGCGTGAAAATGGCACAAAGGCGAAAACCGTACCACACAAGATCATGAGGGCGACCAAGTGACACGCCCACGGACTCAAGCCCAGTTCGACTGCAGTATACCATCCCAAAGGGACGAGGGCAACGCCGAAGGTGGCCATCATGACACGCATGGCAACATATGGAACAGCAGCGGGGTATTTTTCTCCACTTTTGAATTCAAAGTTGCCATCGTAGCCAGACAATAGCCCAGCCAGGGCGACAAGCATCTTGCCCAATGGGGGGTGTACATCGAAGTAGAATTCGCGTTTGAGATAATGGGAGCCAAATTTTCCAAAGTGGGCTTCGTCCCACACGACGATGTCGGCGAGACCGATTTTGTGGAAGCGTGTCCAGCAGGAAAGAAGAGTGTAGATGGCGGGCGGGAGGTGTTCGAGGTTTTGGTGGATGAAATCGCTCTAGAGAAAGTGTGTTATTAGTGTGTTGCCAGGACTGACTGTGGACGGTGTTAGCGTACTATGGAGGTAGGAGGGGTAGGGTATGGCTTGTGAAGACGACCACTGGACACACGGCCTCCGATGGGGGGTCTGAGCTTGGAATGACCGTCCTTGTGGTCGTGGTCGTTGTACTGCAGGAGTGCGTCGGTATCATAGCCGCTGCCACTCATGAACCCGCCGCTGCTGCCGGGCCCCTTTGCAACTCTTCGCCTGGTCGATGTGTCCTCTGCCGACTGCATGTAGTGGAGCGGTAGCGAGTCGTCTGTGCGGGCGGTGGCTGGGATGATGGTGTGCAGAGGAGGAGTCGGGTAAGAAATTTCCTCAAATTCAGAGGACGGGGAGCGCAGAGGAGTCTCGGGTAGCGATCCAAAGTCAATTTGGACTTGACTGGGTCTCATCAGCTGCCAAACCCTGCCACTCGTGTGTGTGGACTGCAGTGTGGATGTTCAGTGGTATCAAGCGCAGCAGCCCTGCCGACGTGTCATTTCAACAACACACTGTGGCTGTTATCATACAGTACTAATAGTAGGTCGTCGACGATGCCGTCGGACACGACGACCCGCAATCCAATCACACATCGTCTGCGGAAGATACTCGCAACGTCGTTCACAGACCCAGCCGCGGTAGAAGCACTCCAGACACTCTCTCAGCTGTACAGCCCACCCCAACCAGACAGTGCAGTCAACACTGCCGACAACGATGGCGACGACTCCAGTGACTCGGATGAAGACACGGAACAGCAGCACCCGCAGGACGATGTCATTGACGAGACAGCTGCACGCGCGAGGAAGAATCTGCAACGTGATCTCGAGAACAAACTCGCCGGGGAAAGCGTGCATTTCTTGCATGCGTTCGGAGAGGTCAATCAAGTGCGTGTACGTGGGTTTGGACATGAACATCCCTATACCGTCGCCTAGAAACTAGATGACTTGGAGCAACTCGTTGCTGAGATGCGTGTGTACTGCGACGAAGCAGAGGCGCAGCTCAAATTAACAGAAGAAGCAAGCCGTTCATTGCTAGAACACGCCGAGAGTCTGCAGCAAGAGAGGTCCGTTTCGCCCTGCCCTCCCACCCTCACCCGCGCACTGAATTGCACGTAGACATCAAGTAGAGACGCGCAAATCCATCGTCACACTCTTCCTTGACCGCTTCACCCTTACTGACGACGAAATCGAGGCCCTCACCTCTCGGGATGTCCCTGTTGGACCCCGATTCTTCCTCGCTATGGACAAGACAGTGCGTATTCGCGTTGATTGCAGGGTCCTCATGTCCGGGGAGGATGGTCCCACCAAGGCAGGGTAAGCCCTCACCCTCTCCTACCCCCACCGAGGGTTTGTTTTGGCTGTTTGACGTATGTCCAGAATGGACATCATGTCGACGACGGCATCTTACCTCGAACAAGGGTACGACAAAATTTATCGATGGTGTACGTTCGAATTCCGCAGGCTGAGTTCAGAGAACCATCTCGAAGTCAGTCCTACGATGCTCGAGTCCGTAAGACGTCTTTCTCAAAGACCAGAGCTCCTTTCGTACGTTTACTCTCTCGAGCTTGGATCGTTGTTCACCCCCCCCCCCCCCTCCCCCTTCTCCCCCTATCCTCTAGAGAAGCTCTTACGGTCCTCTCCCAAACAAAACAGAACGCTCTTCTCAACCTCTTCCTAAACGCGCTCACACGTGGGGGGCCCTCTGGTCTCCCGCGTCCCATAGAGTTCCATGCGCACGATCCTATCCGATATATCGGCGACATGCTCGCATGGGTCCACCAAGCCATCGCAGCCGAATGCGAGTTTTTCGAAAGTCTCTTCGGGTTATCGGGGCGCGCGAAGCGGATGGTGGGTGAGGTGCGAGTGGCTGGTGACAGTGTAGAGGAGGAATGGATAAGGGACTTGTTGGATGCCGGAGTCCGCAAGTTGTGTGTGCCACTCAAGGTAGGTTACATGGTCGACTTTGCATATCCACAATTTACTACTCTCCGTTGCTGCAGCTCCGTGTCCTCCAGACCATCCGCGCCCAAGACGACAGCATTGTATGCTACAAGGTTGCGAATCTACTGCAATACTACGCCTTGACGATACAACGCACGATCGGGGATCGATCTGTCTTGTCGGATACACTACGAGAGTACGTGTGCTCCTTTTCCGCTTGATAGTCCTTTGGCGTGTCGTTTGTTGAACCAGCTACGTTGAGTCATCCTGATAAATGTATGCAGGATCACACAGGCCAGTTATAAAGTGTTCTTCGATACGATTGAAGCACAGGGCAGAGCGATACTCCGGATACCGCTGGTAAGTGACTTGTCGTCCTATCGGTTTCTCTCTGACGACCAACATAACAGGACCTCGACGACCCATCGCTTGCGCCTCCCAATTTCATCATGGACCATGCACAGGTTCTCAGGGAAATCATGCAGGTTTATGATTCGTCTTTGCTTGATGAGGGTGTGGATCCATCTCCAACGGGTGGGACTGAGAAGATGGACGATAAAGACGAAGGTGATAGTGAAGACGATAGTGATGCTGGGAATAATGGGAACGACGGTGATGCAAATGCAAATGCAACAAAGAGATTCAATCGGATCCTGGATATTATGGTCGACCCCGCTATTGCCATGTGTGCTGCTGCATCTGAAGAAAAAGCCCGCCTACGTCCTCAATGGGATAGCGCTGTGTTCGTGCTAAATTGTTTATGTTATTTGAAGGTGTGTGCGGAATGTGCTTCAGTCATGCCATTCCTTTCCTCCATTCGTTTGGTGACAGATGCTGACCAGTACTGATCAACCCGGCGCTTCCCCAGAACGTACTAGAGCCTTTCTCATTCACGCGGGTTAAGCAAGAAGAGATCGAAAAGATCACCCAGGACAGACTGTGTGCGTTGGAGGACGATCATGTGAGGCCATTTTCTCTTCCCCTCTTACATTCTGGGGCGTTGGTGTGGTTTCTAATGAAGGATTTAATGGAACAGTATGATCACATTCTTCGAGATGCTTCGCTTTGGGACGCTGTGCATACCTTGGAAACGAAAGATCCGGCGGTGCGTTTACGTTCGTGTTGTCGATACATTCTTTCATCTCCGCTGACGTGTGATGCTTGCCCGATCGCACACCGACAAAACAGACACCACTATCCCGCCTGCCCGCGACCGAACCCGCTACGCTTCAACTCTCGCTTTCCAAATTCTCCCTGTGGCTCTCCACGCCAGATACGGTCTCATCCCCACGTCTTGCGCCTCTCTCGTCTGCCGCGATCGCGGGTCGCGTGCACCGTGAAGCATTGAGAAGACTCGTGCACGCGTATGAAAAGTTGTGTGAGGAAGTGAAGAGTGGGAAGGCGAGGTACGAAGCGGGGAGTGTGTTGTTGGGGAGGGAGAGGCCGTTTGGACAGGTTGGGTTGTTGTTGCAGATTTTTGGTTTGGAGGAGGAGGCTTAGCGAGCTCGGTCGTCGTGACGTCGAGTGCCCGCTCGCTGTGTGCAACAATACACTCCCTGAGTGACCACTCACTCGGACAACCCCGTCTGTATGTCACAGCTGTGCGGCACCCCGGTATTAGCGTGATCCTGAAGTCATCACACAAATGTGTTAGGAGCTGACCCGTCCACATACTACCAGGAATCTCTGTAAGCTCATCGACATCTGAGGTCTTGTATAGTTTCAAGGCAGCCTCGAATATACTAGCGAGATGTCTATTGGCCTTAATCTTGATCGCCTTTTTAGCCCCTCAACGGTTTCAACCTTTGAGGCTGTGACCCGGAAGGGGCTGTTGCTTTCTGCCCCTCGGATCCAACAGAAAACACTCAAGACTTGAAAATGGGAAGGATGGTACCAGGTGGCAAGAACGGTAAACCGCAAGCGGCACGTACCAATAACGATGTGGTGGCGGGGTTACAAAAATGCTCGACAGCTGTTGCGTAGGCAGCAATGGTTTGCCCAGCATGGGGGGTGACAGATTACCAAGAATTTTGTCGTCGTCAATAATTGCCATGTCCTGAAGTGCCTTAAAGATTGCAGCAATTGACAGTGGAGTATCTGATTCTGAGCCGATAAATTTCTTGACTGTGTTGGTCGTCATGCATTCATGAGTGAAGGTGCCTCGATTACTCTCAAACGATGAAATTTGAAAGGGTGAACCGCGCACCCAATAGTAGCCAATTGTAGCTGCACATGCTTGCAACGAAGAAGTTTGAAGCCAGGGGAAGAAACAGCGGCATCACCGATAATAGGGGGTCTAGAACTTTCAGTTGAGTTCATCCTTACCTCTTCTGTGTAATTTGAATATGATTCCATGTGGATCACTTCTACACTAGTCTCATTCCTTGGCATCTGAGTTGTATCAGGCCGGAGAGCAAAAGGTGTCTGCCTCTCTTTCCCTTTTCCCTTTTCCCTTCTTTCCTTTCCGCCCTCCGCCTTCGTTACCGGGTCCAGATGTTGACCTTGAGGCAATCTTCACTCTGCATTAGAAATGTGACATTGTGGTGACCTAGTGCAATCGCCACCATCAGGACTGGTATGACTCAGAACTATGGAGCCGAACCAAGCTCGGAGCCAGAGTCAGGAGAGACTGCAACTTGTGTTCACATGTCATGTCAAAGCAGATGGCAATGAAGGATGGATAACAAACAAGGGAGAGTCATCACCAATAGAAGTGCTGACTTCTCTGTCAGTCAGACACAAGAAACCAACAGCAACAGCTGTTGATGCCAAAGCTGGGGGCAAGAGCAAGACCAATTTGTGGTCTCTTGGGGACCCCATGTAGTCCATTTAGTCACAACATATAGGTAGCCTGTGTGCCAAAATGCCAACACTTATATAGACCCTGTGACAGGCCCATCTAAATAGATTAGCCATGACACGTGGACAGGCCTGAGGGCCTATAGTGAGAGCAACATATGTACAGGCCTGTAAGTGCAATTCCACAACATATGGGAGGGCCTGTGGAGGGTAAGGATGCTGCAACATATAGATGGGCCCATGACCAAGTAAGTATGCTGAGCTACTGTAAGACATGGATGGGCCTGTCCATGGTAGGGTGTGCCCCAGTCACAATATCAGGATGGGCCTGCCTATTGTATCATGAAGAAGGTCACAACATATGGATGGGCCTGCCTGTCATATGCTTTATAGGGTCACAACACAAAGAGGGGCCCCTCTATGATAGATTACAGAGTTGGCAACATATGGAAGGGCCTGTCTTTGGGATAATATACCCCTGTCACAACATATAGACAGGCCTGTTGTGAGTCAAAGTGTGGTTCAGTGGTGAAAACCAACCAAAACCAACACAAAAGACAAAAAGAGCAAGTGGTGGTGTGCCTATGCAGTACCCAGATGGTAGAACCTTTGATTTGGGTGGTTTTTTGTGAGCTACAACACTCAAGGATGAGTGCTGAGGGTTGGGGGCACTCCTGACAAAGAAGAAGCAGGAATGCAAGAGAATGCAATAGGGTAGACTGCTGTCAGCTGTTATGCCTGAGCGCAGTGACTTCTTCAAATGGAATAGGCATGGAGCACTGTGAGTCAAAGTGAGGTTCAGTGGTGAAAACCAACCAAAACCAACACAAAAGACAATGAAAGCGAGTGGTGGTGTGCCTATGTGGTACCTAGATGGTAGAACCTGTTCTTTGGGAGGGTTTTTGTGAGCTACAACACTCAAAGATGAGTGCTGAGGGTTGGGGGTGCTCCTGACGAAGAGGGAGCAAGAATGTGATAGAAAGTGATAGGGTAGACTGCTGTCAGCCTACAGAAGGATGGATGGTGACTTAATTCGATGTCCTAAGCTGTACTGAGCTCAGGGAGGGCTTGGAGCGAAGTATATGGATGATAGATGATGATAAGCGAAGTAGATGATAGCTAGACCCTTAATAAAGTCTCAACTATCGAAGCTGATGAATGATTTACTGAGAGATGATAAATTGCAAGCAAGAGGGGCTCTCTGATGTCTTCTTTTTTTTTTTGCTACCTAAGTACAGTGACTTATATACAGTACAGGGGCATTGCCTATGGAAAACAAGGTGCAAACACTTGGTAAGTGATTGGTAACTGATGAGTAAGGAATGTAAGCGATGGGTAATCATCTTGGAAAGCATTGGTAAGCATTGGTAAGGATAAGTAAGCCAAAAAGCGAAGAATCAGTAAGCAAAGTCAAAAGATTGGTAAGTATTGGCAATAGGTGAGTCAAAGACAGTCAGAATGTCACAGTATGAGTCAAGCAATGTCAGGAACTGGGAAAGTGCACTGGAATCACATTAGGGGGAGGCCGTGCATGTCACATCTCGAAGAGATCACTTCTAGGCCAAAGTGGGATGACAGAGAGGCAGCACTGATCTGATGCCAATATAGTACATCCAAAAGTGGACAGGGTGAGTCAGATGCCAACAGGGGTCAAGCTTTGGGGGTCTGTGGGGTGACAGGAGCATAGGGGATCACAACTTTCCCCCCCAAACCATCCTCTCAGTGAAGCAAATAAAAACTTCATGAATGAGGTTCTGTTGGAAGAGAGGATGAAGGGGGAGTGTCTTCTGCTGTATCTTGCAACAAGGAGGCAAAATGTGCATCATACTCATCATGGATGTGATCAGGGAGAGTGGGGAACAGTAGATTATACTGTAGCTGTTGCAATCTTGGAAGAATGATGGACAAGACTGGTATGAAGATGTTGCAGGGGGCAGGGAGGAAGGATCCATATGCTTCTTGGACTGGAGAGACTGAAACGACCACATAAGACCTTTCCAAGCAAATGACAGACCTGAGGCGACCAAAGAACATCCTCCTGGAGGTCATACTGACAAAAAGAACACACTGTCCAAGCTGGATGGGCTGAGAGGGGGCAGATGAGGGTGGGATGTACCAGGATGCTTCAGGACAGAAGCTGGTAGGAACTCCTGGTAGATATATGTAGCCATGGTCCCTAGCAAAGGGGACAAGCGAAATGACTGATGTGGAGGCAGCCATATCAGAAGAATTAGCAAAATGAGCATCTTTTGGAGGGAGTGCTGTAGAAATGTGTGGAGTGCGCAAATCCTTTCCAATCCTGGAAGGTAGGATTGCATGGCTGAGCACTACAAGCGAGTGTGGGAATGGTTTTGGTGTCTGCAGAATTGGTGGAGATATGTTGAAAACCGGAATGCCATACATGGGCGCTTAAGAATTTTATTGGTGCTTAACTTGCCTCCTCCATCTTCCTTGGCATTGACAACTTGTTCTTGTGTGAGGGATGACTGCCGACATTGCTGGCTGTCCTTCTTCACATGAGGGCTATGGTCTTCACCTCCATTCATCAGCTACATCCATGTCCACCTCACCAAACACCTTTGGTGTGTGACAGTGCATGAGGTGGGAGACTGCAGGCTGAACTTGTCGTAACCCCTATGGCTGAGTTATCACAATAATCTGACAGAGGTTCTGTCTACTGGCGAGTCCCTAAGGTTATTTGCACAGAGAGAGAACAGAGATTAGAGCAAAGGGATGAAGCTCAGTTGCAAGCTATTGAAAAACTGCCAATACAGGACAAAGTATGTAGGATTATATACCCCTAAGTACGAGTACCATACCAGTTGTAACAGACATATCGTGACGCGTATCCACAGTAGTCAACGAGTTCATCAGTGAAACAGAAATGAGTCATATGGTGTCAATGATGGGGATTGGCAAGGGGACGAAGGCTATACCGGCTGGCGCAATCAGTGCACAGTGAGGAGCCAGACACCGGAGCTATAGTACAACAAGTAAGCAACATAGATGAGTCATAAGGGGTTAATGGAACAAGAAATGAACAAGTCATCCATCAGAGAGGGCAGTGGAATACTGGATCATAGTGGCAATGAGGTATTGACAGGTATTGGAAATACCTGGACAACAACGGGAGACCCAAACGTTCCCTGGAGCATTTGAGCCCCTAGGATGGTGATGACTATTAGGGACACAACGAGGCATGTGATGCATGTGACCGAGAGGAACCAAAAAAGGAATGACCCCTGATGGGAGCATAACATCACCCCCCCTCTAAGGTCCTCAGACCCTTGAGGACGGGCTGGAAGTTGCATTGGGTGGACAAGAGGATAAGGGTCGGCGAGTAGTATAGACGTGGGAACGTGTCCAAGCAGCGATGGGTGATGGGGGCGATGGAGATGGCAGTTCCTTGAGGGCCAGAGTATAGTGGGAGCCACATCCATTATGGCATGACCAATGTCCCAGGTAATGGCATTGGTAGCATGCATGTTGGTAGAGGACATGGTCAGGCGGGATGGGGGTCTGGCCTCTGAGGTAGAAGTGAAGTTGATCAAGAGGTACAGGGATGAAGGGAGTTGAAGGGAGAGGGTCGGAGGAGTGGATGGCATTATGGTAGTGTTTCTGCATGCCTGCCCACAATGCATCCTGCAGCAGAACCTCCCAAGCGGAGTTGTGAGTCCCTGTACTGAGTCAAGCACCAACCTCTTTAAAGAGTTCCCTGGAGTCAACAAAGCCCAACTCCATGGCATGCCATTGCTTCTCTTTCTCCTGATCCATAATGTCTTCTTTCATTTTTATCATCGAAGCCGATGGTTCCTCTTGCTTCAGTTTGATACGATCAAGGAGTTGGGAA